AGACATAAGGAAGTGGATGGCTGAAAACTTTTTACTTTTAAACTCGGACAAAACAGAGATGCTTGTTCTAGGTCCCAAGAAACAAAGAGATCTTCTGTTAAATCTGACAATTCATCTTGATGGTTGTAAAGTCGTCTCAAATAAAACTGTGAAGGACCTAGGCGTTACTCTTGACCCTGATCTCTCTTTTGACGAACATATCAAGACTGTTTCAAGGACAGCTTTTTTCCATCTACGTAACATTGCAAAAATCAGAAATTTTCTGTCCAAAAATGATGCAGAAAAATTAATCCATGCATTTGTTACTTCTAGGTTAGACTACTGCAATGCTCTATTTTCCGGCTACCCGGATAAAGCACTAAATAAACTTCAGTTAGTGCTAAATACGGCTGCTAGAATCCTGACTAGAACCAAGAAATTTGATCATATTACTCCAGTGCTAGCTTCCCTACACTGGCTTCCTGTTAAGGCAAGGGCTGATTTCAAGGTTTTACTGTTAACCTATAAAGCGTTACATGGGCTTGCTCCTACCTATCTTTCCGAGTTGGTCCTGCCGTACATACCAATACGTACGCTACGGTCACAAGACGCAGGCCTCCTAATTGTCCCTAGAATTTCTAAGCAAACAGCGGGAGGCAGGGCTTTCTCCTATAGATCTCCATTTTTATGGAACAGTCTGCCTACCCATGTGAGAGACGCAGACTCGGTCTCAACCTTTAAGTCTTTACTGAAGACTTATCTCTTCAGTAGGTCATATGATTGAGTGTAGTCTGGCCCAGGAGTGTGAAGGTGAACGGAAAGGCTGGAGCAACGAACAGCCCTTGCTGTCTCTGCCAGGCCGGTTCCCCTCTCCACTGGGGTTCTCTGCCTCTAACCCTGTTGCAGGGGCTGAGTCACTGGCTTGCTGGTGCTCTTTCATGCCGTCCCTGGGAGGGGTGCGTCACTTGAGTGGGTTGAGTTACTGACGTGATCTTCCTGTCTGGGTTGGCGCCCCCCTCTTGGTTTGTGCTGTGGTGGAGACCTCTGTGGGCTATACTCGGCCTTGTCTCAGGATTGTAAGTTGGTGGTTGGGGATATCCCTCTAGTGGTGCGGGGGCTGTGCTTTGGCGGAGTGGGTGGGGTTATATCCTTCCTGTTTGGCCCTGTCCGGGGGTTTCTTCGGATGGGGCCACAGTGTCTCCGGACCGCTCCTGTCTCAGCCTCCAGTATTTATGCTGCAGTAGTTTATGTGTCGGGGGGCTGGGGTTAGTTGGTTATACCTGGAGTACTTCTCCTGTCTTATCCAGTGTCCTGTGTGAATTTAAGTATGCTCTCTCTAATTCTCTCGTTCTCTCTTTCTCTCTGAGAACCTGAGCCCTAGGACCATACGTCAGGACTACCGGGCATGATGACACCTTGCTGTCCCCAGTCCGCCTGGCCTTGCTGCTATTCCAGTTTCAACTGTTCTGCCTGCGGCTACGAAACCCCTACCTGTCCCAGACCTGCTGTTTTCAACTCTTAATGATCGGCTATGAAAAGCCAACTGAGAGACCTGAGCCCTAGGACCATACGTCGGGACTACCGGCCGTGGTGACTCCTTGCTGTCCCCAGTCCGCCTGGCCTTGCTGCTATTCCAGTTTAAACTGTTCTGCCTGCGGTTATGGAACCCCTATCTGTCCCAGACCTGCTGTTTTAAACTCTTAATGATCGGCTATGAAAAGCCAACTGAGATTTATTCCTGATTATTATTTGACCATGCTTGTCACTTATGAACATTTTTGAACATCTTGGCATGGTTCTGTTATAATCTCCACCCGGCACAGCCAGAAGAGGACTGGCCACCCCTCATAGCCTGGTTCCTCTCTAGGTTTCTTCCTAGGTTTTGCCTTTCTAGGGAGTTTTTCCTAGCCACCGTGCTTCTACACCTGCATTACTAGCTGTTTGGGGTTTTAGGCTGGGTTTCTGTACAGCACTTCGAGATATTAGCTGATGTAAGAAGGGCTATATAAAATAAAATTGATTGATTGATTGATTGATTGATAAAAAAAATTGGAGGCCCCTTACACTTCAGTGTTGTGATGCAAAAATTCTAGCAAAATGTATAGCGCATAGAATTAAAAAGGTATTGTCGGATATTATTCATTCTAATCAGACAGGTTTTTTACATGGAAGATACATTGGAGATAATATAAGGCAAGTATTGGAAACAATAGAACACTATGGAAAATATGGGCAACCAGGCCTGCTATTCATAGCAGACTTCGAAAAGGCATTTGATAAAGTACGACTGGGGTTTATATATAAATGCCTGGAGCATTTCAATTTTGGAGAATCTCTTATAAAATGGGTCAAAATCATGTATAGTAACCCTAGGTGTAAAATAGTAAATAATGGCTATTTCTCAGAATGTTTTAAACTGTCAAGAGGAGTGAAACAAGGTTGTCCACTATCGGCATATCTATTTATTGTGGCCATTGAGATGTTAGCTATTAAAATCAGATCCAACAATAATATCAGAGGATTAGAAATCCAGGGCTTAAAAACAAAGGTGTCATTGTACGCTGATGATTCATGTTTTCTTTTAAATCCACAACTAGAATCCCTCCACAGCCTCATAGAGGATCTAGACCTCTCTGGATTACAACCAAATTATGACAAATGTACTATATTACGTATTGGATCACTAAAAAATACAATCTTTACATTACCATGTAGTTTACCAATAAAATGGTCTGATGGTGATGTGGATATACTCGGAATACATATCCCAAATGAAATAAATGATCTCACTTCAATACATTTTAATAGAAAGTTAGCAAAAATAGATAAGATCTTGCTACCATAGAATGGTAAATACCTGTCAATTTGTGGAAAAATCACCCTGATTAACTCTTTAGTATTATCCCAGTTTACCTATTAAAACTAACAGGTCTGTGAGCGCCGGAATTCTTACTGGTTGGTAGGTGATCAAATACTTACAGTGGGGAGAACAAGTATTTGATACACTGCCGATTTTGCAGGTTTTCCTAAATACAAAGCATGTATAGGTCTGTAATTTTTATCATAGGTACACTTCAACTGTGAGAGACGGAATCTAAAACAAAAATCCAGAAAATCACATTGTATGATTTTTAAGTAATTAATTTGCATTTTATTGGATGACATAAGTATTTGATCACCTACCAACCAGTAAGAATTCCGGCAATCACACACCTGTTAGTTTTTCTTTAAGAAGCCCTCCTGTTCTCCACTCATTACCTGTATTAACTGCACCTGTTTGAACTCGTTACCTGTATAAAAGACACCTGTCCACACACTCAATCAAACAGACTCCAACCTCTCCACAATGGCCAAGACCAGAGAGCTGTGTAAGGACATCAGGGATACAATTGTAGACCTGCACAATGCTGGGATGGGCTACAGGACAATAGGCAAGCAGCTTGGTGAGAAGGCAACAACTGTTGGTGCAATTATTAGAAAATGGAAGAAGATCAAGATGACAGTCAATCACCCTCGGTCTGGGGCTCCATGCAAGATCTCACCTCGTGGGGCATCAATGATCACGAGGAAGGTGAGGGATCAGCCCAGAACTACACGGCAGGACCTGGTCAATGACCTGAAGAGAGCTGGGACCACAGTCTCAAAGAAAACCATTAGTAACACACTACGCCGTCATGGATTAAAATCCTGCAGCGCATGCAAGGTCCCCCTGTTCAAGCCAGCGCATGTCCAGGCCAGTCTGAAGTTTGCCAATTACCATCTGGATGATCCAGAGGAGGAATGGGAGAAGGTCATGTGGTCTGATGAGACAAAAATAGAGCTTTTTGGTCTAAACTCCACTTGCCGTGTTTGGAGGAAGAAGAAGGATGAGTACAACCCCAAGAACACCATCCCAACTGTGAAGCATGGAGGTGGAAACATAATTCTTTGGGGATGCTTTTCTGCAAAGGGGACAGGACGACTGCACCATATTGAGGGGAGGATGGATGGGGCCATGTATCGCGAGATCTTGGCCAACAACCTCCTTCCCTCAGTAAGAGCATTGAAGATGGGTCTGGCTGGGTCTTCCAGCTTGACAACGACCCGAAACACACAGCCAGGGCAACTAAGGAGTGGCTCCGTAAGAAGCATCTCAAGGTCCTGGAGTGGCCTAGCCAGTCTCCAGACCTGAACCCAATAGAAAATCTTTGGAGGGAGCTGAAAGTCCGTATTACCCAGCGACAGCCCCGAAACCTGAAGGATCTGGAGAAGGTCTGTATGGAGGAGTGGGCCAAAATCCCTGCTGCAGTGTGTGCAAACCCGGTCAAGACCTACAGGAAACGTATGATCTCTGTAATTGCAAACAAAGGTTTCTGTACCAAATATTAAGTTCTGCTTTTCTGATGTATCAAATACTTATGTCATGCAATAAAATGCAAATTAATTACTTAAAAATCATACAATGTGATTTTCTGGATTTTTGTTTTAGATTCCGTCTCTCACAGTTGAAGTGTACCTATGATAACAATTACAGACCTCTACATGCTTTGTAAGTAGGAAAACCTGCAAAATCGGCAGTGTATCAAATACTTGTTCTCCCCACTGTATGGGGGTTTGGAAATGCTGCAGACAATTACATTGATAGAAGCCACAATCTATCTTCAATATTGAATTTGATCTACCCCAAAATATTTTATAAAAAATAAATGCCATTGTCGTCTGGATGTTGAAAATGCTATTTTATTCCATCAGTACACAATTACTTTCAATATCACATTTATCATAGATATAAAATGGTGTTCATTAAACAAACAATCGTTATGGTATGAAACCTTTTATTTGATGATGTTATAAACAAAGTGTTTGAAAGACAAATAAACGTTTTTAATTTTTGCTCCTCTCTCTTTTACGCCATTCTACTTTACATGTCACTTTTCTTCCTCCCAAGACTCGCTGAGTAACAGATAGCAGTACGTGTTTACATTTGTGTGTATTTCTGTGTGAAATTCACCAAAATATATGAAATATGTTAAATAGTGTAGTTATTTCTGTTGCCGTCTTTTCCTTTTGAGGCTTATCTGTATCTCCTCCTGGTAACACAAAGAGGGCATAATAAGGGGCTAATGCTAATTAATATCAACACAAACAGAAACAGAAAAACAAACACAAACACAAACACAAACATAAACACAAACACAAACACAAACACAAACACAAACACAAACACAACAATAAACACAAACACAAACATAAACCTAAACAAATACACAAACATCAACACAAACATAAACATAAACAAACACAAACAAACATAAACACAAACATAAACACAAACATACCCATTTAAGTTCTCCACGTCTTCTATGGTCTCAGGGAAATCGATGCCTCTCATCTCCGGTAATAGCATGACCAGTCCACTGTACAACATTGACATGACACCTACAGATACACATGGTACAATATTATCAAGCAGTAGAGCTGACAATTCTGAGACGCAGAAATGAGCTGTATATCACAGTAAGATCAATCATTTGATGTCAATGTGAGTGTTTAATACTTAATATTTTCTTCATCAATTCATCTGCACTTATTTCTAAAATACAAAATACACAAAGAAGAGGAGGGCAACCAACGTGAGTGGAGGTGCAACCCAAAAAATTTAATCATCTTTGCAAAGGAAAAGGCACAAAAATACAAAATAAATGCAAAAATAAAAATACAACTAAAAATCCAAATTAAAAATCCAATTGTGAAATACCATAGAGGAAGAGGGGCAGTTCCTGCCAGATACTGGCCAGTCTGTAGAGCAAGAAAGGGGCAGCTATAGCTCCTATGTCACTGGCTGATGAGCACACAGACACGCCCAGGTTTCTGTCAAATACAAGCGATATTAGTCTTGATATACAGTACACTACATCATATCAAAATGATTTCATTATTATTTTCAAACATTTGATCGTACAGTAGTGTTTACACATATTCCAATGTGTATTATTGCATGTTACTGCATATAGTACTACCAGCAGTGTTGTGTTCGAGACCACCTAAAGCGAGACCGAGTCAAGACCAAGACCGGAGGGGTGGGGGGGGCGTGACTGAGTCAAGACCGAGACCGGAGGGGGACAAGGGGTTCGAGCTGTGATATACAACCTGATAACAATATATTATTTTGTATTGGTGAATTATATTAATCATGCATTGAACTGCATCCATCTATTCTGCCAACAATGCCTTCGTGTACGTCATGGAACGTTGAGTCAAATATAACCTATTTTTAAAACCTCTTATAAAGTTGGTTTTGTGGCATAAATTGGGAATTTGATATTTTTGACTGATATTATGATTGTCTGTTTGTTTCATATCTGCAAAGTATTTAAAACGCTGTCAGTTCCACTTCAAACTTTAGGTCACCGGTCACTTTGTGTGCTAAACGTGAAATGTTTTTTGCAATGGGAAGTAATAGTAGTACATTTCGATTGGGAAATGCTTAATGGTTGTGTTTTTGTATTCTTATGATTGGGACCTACTGACTTATTATGTCTGAGTTTATGGACTGCTTATCCTTTAACATCATGCTGTGTGACTGCTTATCCTTTAACATCATGCTGTGTGACTGCTTATCATTTAACATCATGCTGTGTGACTGCTTATCCTTTAACTCATGCTGTGTGTGACTGCTTATCCTTTAACATCATTGCTGTGTGACTGCTTATCCTTTAACATCATGCGTGTGACTGCTTATCCTTTAACATCATGCTGTGTGGACTGCTTATCCTTTAACATCATGCTGTGTGACTGCTTATCCTTTAACATCCTGCTGTGTGACTGCTTATCCTTTAACATCATGCTTGTGTGACTGCTTATCCTTTAAACATCATGTTGTGTGACTGCTTATCCTTTAACATCATGCTGTGTGACTGCTTATCCTTTAACATCATGCTGTGTGACTGCTTATCCTTTAACATCCTGCTGTGTGCTGCTTATCCTTTAAACAATCCTCTGTGTGACCTGCCTTTAAATCCTTTAACATCCTGCTGTGTGACTGCTTATCCTTTAACATCCTGCTGTGTGACTGCTTATCCTTTAACATCCTGCTGTGTGACTGCTTATCCTTTAACATCATGTTGTGTGACTGCTTATCCTTTAACATCATGCTGTGTGACTGCTTATCCTTTAACATCATGCTGTGTGACTGCTTATCCTTTAACATCCTGCTGTGTGACTGCTTATCCTTTAACATCATGCTGTGTGACTGCTTATCCTTTAACATCATGCTGTGTGTGACTGCTTATCCTTTGACATCATGCTGTGTGACTGCTTATCCTTTAACATCATGCTGTGTGACTGCTTATCCTTTAACATCATGCTGTGTGACTGCTTATCCTTTAACATCATGCTGTGTGACTGCTTATCCTTTAACATCATGCTGTGTGACTGCTTATCTTTTAACATCATGCTGTGTGTCTGCTTATCCTTTAACATCATGCTGTGTGACTGCTTATCCTTTAACATCATGCTGTGTCTGCTTATCCTTAACATCATGCTGTATGTGACTGCTTTCCTTTAACATCCTGCTGTGTGACTGCTTATCCTTTAACATCCTGCTGTGTGACTGCTTATCCTTTAACATCATGCTGTGTGACTGCTTATCCTTTAACATCATGTTGTGTGACTGCTTATCCTTTAACATCATGTTGTGTGACTGCTTATCCTTTAACATCATGCTGTGTGACTGCTTATCCTTTAACATCCTGCTGTGTGACTGCTTATCCTTTAACATCCTGCTGTGTGACTGCTTATCCTTTAACATCCTGCTGTGTGACTGTTTATCCTTTAACATCCTGCTGTGTGACTGCTTATCCTTTAACATCCTGCTGTGTGACTGCTTATCCTTTAACATCCTGCTGTGTGACTGCTTATCCTTTAACATCATGTTGTGTGACTGCTTATCCTTAACATCATGCTGTGTGACTGCTTATCCTTTAACATCATGCTGTGTGGACTGCTTATCCTTTAACATCCTGCTGTGTGACTGCTTATCCTTTAACATCATGCTGTGTGACTGCTTATCCTTTAACATCATGCTGTGTGTGACTGCTTATCCTTTGACATCATGCTGTGTGACTGCTTATCCTTTAACATCATGCTGTGTGACTGCTTATCCTTTAACATCATGCTGTGTGACTGCTTATCCTTTAACATCATGCTGTGTGACTGCTTATCCTTTAACATCATGCTGTGTGACTGCTTATCTTTTAACATCATGCTGTGTGTCTGCTTATCCTTTAACATCATGCTGTGTGACTGCTTATCCTTTAACATCATGCTGTGTGTCTGCTTATCCTTTAACATCATGCTGTATGTGACTGCTTATCCTTTAACATCCTGCTGTGTGACTGCTTATCCTTTAACATCATGCTGTGTGACTGCTTATCCTTTAACATCATGCTGTGTGTGACTGCTTATCCTTTAACATCATGCTGTGTGACTGCTTATCCTTTAACATCCTGCTGTGTGACTGTTTATCCTTTAACATCATGCTGTGTGACTGCTTATCCTTTAACATCATGCTGTGTGTGACTGCTTAACCTTTAACATCCTGCTGTGTGACTGCTTATCCTTTAACATCATGCTGTGTGTGACTGCTTATCCTTTAACATCATGCTGTGTGACTGCTTATCCTTTAACATCATGCTGTGTGTGACTGCTTATCCTTTAACATCATGCTGTGTGTGACTGCTTATCCTTTAACATCATGCTGTGTGACTGCTTATCCTTTAACATCATGCTGTGTGTGACTGCTTATCCTTTAACATCATGCTGTGTGTGACTGCTTATCCTTTAACATCATGCTGTGTGTGACTGCTTATCCTTTAACATCATGCTGTATGTGACTGCTGTCTTTCCATCGGCCCTATTCAGTGGTGTAGCGGTGCTTGGAGAAGTGGGTATACTATAATTTTGCCAAAAAAGTTCCCAAACGGCCCGCCCAGCGAAGGAAAGGCACCCTGTGTGAAAGATACTATGTTTTCCCATTTTTTAATGAGTTTTCTACGCCCCTGATGCAAACAGCACATGATGACAACTGCGTGTCACAAATAGCCTACTAATCAACACTTTGGACTACATTTTTTCAATGCCTGGTTTGCACACCCATTGTTGCCTTAGTTATTAGCATTTACTGGTAGATATCATAAGGTGAAACGTCTTTCCTACCCTACCGGCTACAGATGTCATTCCATGCCAAAACCAGTTGAGAGCTGCACACTCTTGCTGCCTGCAGATGATATTCTGCTGAAACTAGGCTGTGTGCTGTGTGCGGCGCGCATGTGAATATATTTAACGTGCTTTGCGATTGTGTAGGCTACTTTGTGCATTACTTCTCTATTGTACTACATAACTGATGAGTCGTATACCTCTACTACACTACTTTGATACACATCAGTAGGGATTAAGAAGTGAGTATACGCAATGCCCACTGGGAAAAAAGTGGGTTTACGGTTTATACCTGTTATACCCTCCACTACACCACTGGCCCTTTGTGTTTTACAAAAAGTGCACTCTCCTACATGAGTGCGCTGGTATTACCGTAACTGTCCTTTCAGAATCACGGACCTGTCACATACTGAAGGCCTATAGGTTCGCCACTTCGCAAGTATGTCTATAATAGATAAAGCTGTTAAGATATTCATGTTTCAAGAAAGGTGTGTATATATTTGGACTGGCGAACCGGTTTTATGCACTAACTGAAAGGAAACGGATAGTTATGAGTTTTTTACTCCGCTGGTCTCGGCTGGTCTCGTAAAGAAATTACGAGTCCTCACTGCCCGAGACTGAGACAAGACCAAGACACTCGATAGGTGGTCACGAGACCGGACTCAAGACCGAGACGGGTCTCGAGTACTAAACTGACTACCAGTATGTAATCCAGGTTGTGAAAACGTTAGGATTGAGCAGCATTAATGATTTGAGTTTGATGTTATTATTTGGTTCCACTCTCACCTGAGAGGTGTTGGATACAGCTCAGAGTTGGCAAAATTGACAGTCTCGAATCCAATGGTGACAGAAAGCCTCCCAATGATCGCTATGGCTTTCTTTAGCCACAGATAGTCTATAGGGAGAGGAAAAGAGGTTGAATATATTAAACTATGCATCATATTTTAACGGCCAAATTAAGCAGAATGGTCAACCCCTCAAAAAAATTCAGGATGGGATTACAACAGATAATCTCCTAACTAAAGTAAAGGATCAGGAAGAAAGGGAGGAAAATAAAAACCCATAAAAGGAGGAGAAAAAATATTCTCAGAATCCATTATTTTCATTCTGAGCTTTCACATGTCAGTTATCATCAGAGTTGTGTAACTGAGTTTTAATTGGCTAACCTCCTTCTTCAGCTTGAAATGCCACCACCAGGAGCAACATGGGATCGAATCCCACCCCAAACACTTTCTCACTTTCTCCCCACTACAATTACATCTGCATTCTGACCTGAATAACATAATAATTTAGAAAGTGGACAAGTCTCTATACTCTATAATACATTAAAATACCTACTGACCTACTGAGACGAAGGGCACTATGAGGCAGGCGACTCCTCCTATGAAGTTAGACACAGCCATGAGAGGTCTCCGTCCCACCCTGTCCACCAACAGGTAGAAGATGAGGCCGGTGGGCAGCTCCACGGCTGCAGAGATGAAGAAATCGCGGAAGATATTGTCTCCAGTGATACCCAGGCGGAGAACCAGCCCTTGGAAAACAACTGCGCTTGTGAACCTTGGGAAGAGCAGCAGGGAGCAGTTAATGTGGAATGTTGCCCATGACAGAGACAGGGTGAAGTTTTGGATCGATTGATCTGAGGATTTCATGTACAGATGAAGTATTTTTTAACGGGCGTCACAGAACAGCATGCGGCACTCACCTGGCTCAAAATCTGTGGCAAAAGGCACAACATAATTTCATTGCCATGGTGATGATGAGGATGTGTGGCATTTGTTCAATTAAATGCAGTAAAATATTTTTCTCCAGGTGAGTACGGCATGATGTGTTGCAAACTGTATATTTATGTAGCCTACTCTTTCATTTGAGTGGAACAGTAAACATCAATAACATTTCAAATGTGTCTGGCTCCAGCCATGGCAGTAACTTTTTTTTTTATCGCTTTTGTACTATTTTCACAAGTGTGTAGTGAATTTTCTAAACTCTTAGTACAAAACTCCAAACTGGTAACACTTTTATGAAGCCAGTCTTACATCCAGTCTTACATCCAGTCTTACATCCAGTCTTACATTCAAAACCTTCATTGTGCATTAATTTGTTTCTAGACATCACCACACCACCATTGACCCAAAATATACGTTTACTGTGACATACAGGGCGTTCAGAAAGTACTCAGACACCTTGACGTTTTTCCACATGTTGTTAGGTTACGCTTATTCTAAAGTATTAAATAAATTTAAAAATCCTCAGCAATTCCACACAATACCCCATAAATCGACAAAGCGAAAAGGTTTTTGAAATGTTTGCAAAATATATAAAAAATAAAAAAATAAAAATTATTTACATTAAGTATCAGACCTTCGCTCGAAATGAGCTCAGTGCATCATGTTTCCATATCATCCTTGAGATGTTCTAAAATTGATGGAGTCACACCTGTGGTCAATTCAATTGACTGGGACATGATTTGGAAAGGCACACACCTGTCTATATAAGGTCCCACAGTTGACAGTGCATATCCGAGCAAAAACCAAGCCATGAGGTCGAAGGAATTGTCCGTAGAGCTCAGAGACAGGATTATGTCGAGGCACAGACCTGGGGAAGGGTACCAAAAAATGTCTGCAGCATTGAAGGTCCCCAAGAACACAGTGGCCTCCATCATTCTTAAATGGAAGAAGTTTGGAACCACCAAGACTCTTCCTAGAGCTGGCCGCCCGGCCAACTGAGCAATCTGGGGAGAAGGGCCTTGGTTAGGGAGGTGACTGGGAGACTGGTCAGGATCGAGGGAAAGATTAACCTGAGCAAAGTATAGAGAGATCCTTGATGAAAACCTGCTCCCGAGCACTCAGGACCTCAGACTGGGGCGAAGGTTCACCTTCCAACAGGACAACGACCCTAAGCACACAACCAAGACAACGCAGGAGTGGCTTCGGGACAAGTCTCTGAATGTCCTTGAGTGGGCCAGCCAGTGCCCAGACTTGAACCCGATCGAACATCTCTGGAGAGACCTGAAAATAGCTGTGCAGCAACACTCCCCATCCAACCTGACAGAGCTTGAGAGGATCTGCAGAGAAGAATGGGAGAAACTCCCCAAATACAGGTGTGCAAAGCTTGTAGCGTCATACCCAAGAAGACTCGATGCCGTAATCGCTGCCAACGGTGCTTCAACAAAGTACTGAGTAAAGGGTCTGAATACTTGTGTAAATGTCATATTTCAATGTATTTCATTTTTTATAAGCAAAAATGTCTAAAACCTTTTTTTTACTTTGTCATTATGGGGTATTGTGTGTAGATTGATGAGGGAAAAAAACAATTTAATCAATTTTAGAATAAAGCTGTAACGTAACAAAATTTGAAAAAAGTCAAGGGGTCTGAATACTTTCCGAAGGCACTGTATAATGAATGCATTGGTTTAATCACCAAAACACAATACAATTAGGTATTCTCAATCAATCCAATAGCAAAAAATGTAAGATACATGTTTCAAAATGTCTCTTTGAATGTAGTATGCTACAGTACTGTAAATTACAGTACATAACAATGTTTTCACATTACACTTGCACTACCCATTGCAATCGACTGAACATCAAATGTCCATAATTTCTATCCCATGTGTGATCACTCAAGACATCTTTCACAATGTAATAAAATTAAAGAAATGAAAGAAACATCATGTTTAGCAAGGCATTAGTTTGCATCAAGTCTGTCTTGAGCATTTGGCCATAGGATCTCATCGAAATCACAGTAAATATCTTAATTGTTCACACACCTGGGGGAAAACCTTTTGGCATGGCAAATCCAAGTCTGACATCCTGTAGCTCTGGATTGATGTTATTGCATGCCTCATCCATGGCCTGAAGGAGGGTGGTATGCTCCTGGGGATGGCAATCATACATCTTCCACCTGTATTGTAATCGTGTATTGTATTTTACAGTATTGTATTGTATTTATGTATTGTAGTGGTCCTGTGTGGCTCAGTTAGTAAGAGCATGGCACTAGCAACACCAGAGTTGTGGGTTCGATTCCCACTGGGGTCACATACCAAAATGGGTGGAATGTTGTCTCTTTGGATAAAAACGTCTTCTACGTAAATGGCATATATTACTGTATTACAGTACTGAATTGGCCAATTACATTTTATTAAAGCAGTGTGGTGAAGTTTGGTGAAAAAGTGACTGTATGAGTTTGTGTATTGTACTTTTTTTTTTTTGTCTTTTTTTTTTTTTTAGGGGGATGGATCAGCTTAATATTGCAGCTAGATTGTATATTCTATCAATGTAATTGTCTGCATCTCTTCCAATCCTCCATGTTTTTTTTATATATATACTCCCCTTTATTACTTTTCAACCCCGCCATCCTTTCCCTACTTGGAGTAAATTAGTGAACAATAATGCCCAGGCCTCTACTTCCGGTCTATACTTACTATCTACACCTTATGGACACAGATAATTTTACAATAATTATATTATATATATATACATTCATACATATTGTGTATTGTACTTAGTCAATTGAAAATGTGCTTATAGTTTTGAAACAACTGTCTTTTTGATGATCTGTTCTTGAGTTATGAAAATGTACCACATACTTGTGAAAATTGCACCAGAGCGATAACAAAAACTGTAACTCCTACTGGATGATTGCACCATGGGCAAACAGGCCGAAACAGGGAGCGACTAACCTAAACTTGTCAAATAAGAAACACTCATTTCTGTTTGCAAAACACTTTGCAACTGTGTGCTCTAATGGACACACCCCCAGATTAATTTGGCTGTCTGTCCAAGCAGCTCCCAGTTCAGCCAGGTCACAAAGTTTGTCCAGGTCTCCAGGACGTCGGGAGATGCTTTAAATACCGTCCAGTGGGGGCAACGTGAGCTCCTATTAACATCTAGTAGGCGCACGGCTTGCTAGGGTGCTGTGGACGGGGATAGCGGAAGGGCTTAAACCGCTGGGCTCTGCTCCAGCTCTAAGGATCACGGGTTCAATCCCAGTGATAGGCACTCGTTTTTATTAATTTTTTGTTTTAACCCAAACCTTAACCCTTACCGTAACCAGTCGGAATGAATGCCTAAACTTCGAAATGTGATGTTCATCCCCGCCTTGGACAAACATTAAATACTGAAGTGAGATCGTGATATCTTGTTGCCCAGTTGGCGTGTCTCTTACCAGGCGTAGATGAGGATCAGGGTGTTTCTTCTCATGTTGGGCATCCTAAACAGATCCATGAACGACGGATGACTTATCTCTGCCTCCTGCTCCTGCTTCTCCTCCAGAAGATCAAACTGAAAAAAAGACTGATATGTGATAAGTGATGTGCCTGCGGCTGAGGCTGGTTTAGCGGGTAACGTCACCGCCTCCAGCCCCCCCCCCCCCCCCCCTTTTTTTTAATAATAACATTTAAAAAATGCTGAAGAATATATTTAGGATTGATAAACTGTTGCACTAAATGTGTGCACTTTCACTTCTATAGTATCAGCCTCCCATCTTCCATCTACTGTAGATAGCAGTTTACACTACTCTGAAGAGAGCTCTATGAAGCACAACAAGATGTTTCGGAAAGCAAAAGTAGGCAACCTCTTCGAAATTCTCAGGGACAGTTCTCTTATTACACTTGGCAATGTTTTCAGCGATCCTCATAGCCTCTTTGGTTCTTCTTTGTGACAACAACCAGCGAGGAGATTCTGGAATGAGCCTGAAAGGGAAAAGGTATTTTTATATTTTTATTATAATAATAATAATCATCATCATCATCATCTTAATCTCTTATGTTTTACCCAACCCCCTAGACACCACACAGTATAGGATCATCTAGGTAGATTGCATTTTTATAAAGTATAATATTGCATTCCAATTTCATAAGACATGCCACAAGGTCGGTACCCAGAACAACAACTGTCACCTACTTGATCAGTGTGTGTGTGTGTGTGTGTGTGTGGGTGTGTGTGGGTGTGTGTGTGTGTGTGTGTGTGTGTGTGCGGAAATATTGACATATTACCAAAAGTAAGTGATGAAGATGAAGCAGGGGAGACTCATGGCCAGCTGCAGGGTTTTCCAGGAGGGCAGGAAGTATGCCAAGAGAGGTAGGATGGTCATCCCAGTAGAATAAAAGCTACGGGACACCAATGAGACAAACTTCCGGTTGTTTGATCCAAAGAACTCAATGACTATCAAAGACAAAAACAAGAAAGACTACAATAACAGAAACGTCGGAGCAGGAGCAGGTACAGAACGAAGCAGAAAACCTCCCATATCATTCCTCTGATCACTAGTAAATGGACACTGACTTTCTACCTAAAAACCTTGTATGGACTGCGTTTCTGTGTTCTGTTTCGGTGTTCTGTGATTTAACATTTTGCATATTTTATTAATAAATTGTAACTTTGTAAAAACAATACCCATGTGTTTCAGTGATGTTATGTGTGACTGCCATGTGACTGCATTTCTAGTCAGCAAAGAGCAGAGAACACCTCCCTTACAAAACAGTATTTCACATTTAAGGCTTGATTCTGGTACTTCCATACCAGTCACCGTGAGTTGAGAAAACAACATACTAAATACATAGCTGACTGTCCATGCTCCCTTGCAACAGAAGCCCTGCAGAACTCTGAAGAGCAGCAGCAGGGGGTAAAAGGGTGACAGCATCACAGCTATCCCTGACACCCCCAGGCCAAACATAGACAGGATGAAACAGGGCTTCCTGCCAAACCTGTTGGAGGAGGAATAATGAAAATGTTTTAAGAATGCAATTGACATCATTAAAACGATAAAAAAGCGTCACGTCAGAAGAACTGTTTTAGGCTATACAAAGTTAATGTCATAAATGGAGCAGTAAGGGAGTAGCGTTTCTATTCTGCTGCATAAGGGGGAATGCTCTCATAATACCCATACAGGTTATATTGACAATATTTATTTACAGTATATCACTGCTGCTTTGGTTGCATTTACATTGACTGATGCTATTTGTTGTTATTATCACAGTGTTTAAACAAAATGCTGATGTACCTGTCTGCCAAGTATCCAATGACAAAAGCACCGATGAAGAACCCTCCAGCCAGGGACACCTGACTGAAATCTGCTAGCCATGAATCCTCACACACTAAGGAAAACTGGGATAGATAAATACATAAACACGTAAATACATAGATAACATTACGTGTGTTTGTGACAAATGCACCTTTTATATTGCTGAGAAAACAGATCCTTGCTCAAGGGATGATGTCATGCTTAGTTTAAGATGAAGGAGTGACCCTTAGGGTGGCTACTCAGAGATGCTAACATGCTGTCAAATTACCGATGATAAATGTTGCACAGCACTTTAACTTTTGTTGGCATTATGAAATTATCCTGGATAATAGGCTATTCAGTAAATGTACCGACCATGCACTTGAAACAGATTGTAATTCATTCATTCCTGACCCTGAATTGGCTCTAGAAAATGTATCCTTATTTCTCTGGCAGATAAACCTGCCCCCTTTAAACAATTCAGAGTGAAAGATAGATCTAACCCTTGGTTTTGTTCTGAGTTATCTGAGCTCATTCAGATGAGAAATCAGGCCTGGGCCAAAGCAAGGAAAACTGACTCAGTAGTGGACTGGCAATCTTTCAGACAATTGAGAAACAGATGTACTATCTCGATTAAGAAAGCTAAATCAAGCTACTTTTCAAGCTCTATCTCTGACTCTGCTGGTGATCCTTCTAAATGTTGGAAAACAGTAAATGCACTAAAGCGTACAAATTCCCCTTCTTCCCTGCCTAAGCAAGTTCTGTCTGACTCTGGTATCATAACTGGGAGGAATGGGATAAGTGATGCTTTTAATCATCAATTTATCTCAGCAGGCTTTTTATTAGAGAGAAACTGTGGTCTAATTGACCCTGGTCAGTCAATCGACTGCTTTCCCCTCTGCCAGCCTCTAGCTGACTCGACAGTTAACCCATCAACTTCTAATGAATCTTTGTTTTCATTTCAACAATTTACTATCTGTGATGTGCTAGATGCCTTGCTTAAGATTGATGTAAAAAAATCCACTGGGGCTGATATGTTTGATCCATTTTTGCTGCAGCTCTCTGCCCCCCGATTGCGGAATCTTTAACCCATATTTTTAACCTGACGATTATATCTGATACTATCCCCAAGGTTTGGAAAATGGCCAATGTACTTCCCGTCAAAAAAGTGATGGCCCTTGTGACTTAAATAATTATCACCCTATTTCTAAACTTTTTTGCCTAGCTAAAATATTAGAATCCTTTATTAATTCTCAGCTAAGATCTTTTAGTATTTTAGTATTTTTTTTTACAATTATGGATCCCCTGGGGTCCAGCAAAATTAAGGCAGTTATACAATTTTAAAAACATTACAATACATTCACAACAGATTTCACAACACATTGTGTGCCCTCAGGCCCTTACTCTATTACCACATATCTACAACACAAAATCCATGTGCACGTGTGTGTATAGTGCGTATGTTATCATGTGTGTGTATGCATATGTCTGTGCCTATGTTTCTTATCTTTAAAATGTATTCTAAATGTACATCAGTCAAGTTTTAGACCAGGCCATAGCACTATCTCTGCTGCATCCCTAGTTACAAAGGATGTGGTTAATTGTACAATATGGATAAAAGGCAATAATGTGCTGCCCTCTTCATTGACCTGTCAAAGGCTTTCGATACTGTTGATCACTCACTGCTAATTCAGAGGCTTTCCTCAATTGGCCTAGACCAGGCTGCATATAACTGGTTTAAAAATTACTTGGCAGATAGAACTCAATGTGTATCTACTGATGGTGTTAAATCAGGTTTCCTGGATATTATGAATGGTGTCCCGCAGGGGTCAATTTTGGGTCCTTTACTTTTTAGATTAACAATATTGACTTGTCTGTAAAAAAAAAAATGTAACCTGCACTTGTATGCAATGTTCCCTCAAAAAATGTAGGCACTGAGCAAATTTCAGGTCTGATGAGCGCAAACTTGAACATTGTGAAAATTCTGTGCAACTTCCAGTGCACATTTACTGTGAACACTGAGGCTGTACCCGCTTTAAGTTACAGTTTCAACAGTTGCCAAGTAGGCTACTGTGGCTATTTGATCATAATGTGGTCCTCTGTAGCTCAATTGGTAGAGCATGGCGCTTGTAACGCCAGGGTAGTGGGTTCGATCCCCGGGACCACCCATACGTAAAAATGTATGCACACATGACTGTAAGTCGCTTTGGATAAAAGCGTCTGCTAAATGGCATATTATTATTATAATGTAGGCCTACCAGAGTGGCCTACCATCAAAAACAATGGAGAAAATGCACCCCATAACATTTTAACATGGAAATAGCTGTTATATCATTCAGCCTACAGTAGCAGCCAATGTGTGGTGTTCAATGTAGGCCTAGATTCCATGAGACTTTTGAAAAAAAACATGCAGGGCTTGATATTAACCTGTTTATCCACTTGTCTTTCAGACAAGGAGGTTGAACATGTTGTTGTGATGTTTGATGGAAGAAACCACTTTACAAAATAAAATGCATTATTATTTCCATATGATTATTACAGAGAATCAGACAAATTATGCTACCCTTTGCCTATTGGCTACTTAGCTTATTCAAGCCTGTCTCAAAATACAACACTGCCCCTTTAAGACAAAATTTTTCAAAGATGTCTAGAAATGCACATGTTTTGTGCTCTTGTAGGAAGCAATCACTTCCCTATTGCTGACTACAAATTATCTATAAACTGGGCTAATAACTCACCAACTAGCAAAGGATATGAACAAAATGTGCACACGTGGCTACATGCAGCTCTTGCTTTGATCTCAAAACAAGCGCATCTACTCATGACCACAGCTGTAAACATGTCCAGTTCAAAGTAAATGGCACAGATCCATATATGGCAATGGTCTATTTGCATACAGGCCTACTGCAGCTCGGATTGGTTATGCCGCACGGTCTGTGTAGAGTACAGCTGAGTCATGTGCAAAAGAATACTACTTCAATGCGTTCTGCCTACTACAAAATCTCTTGCGTAGTTCGTTATGTTTCGGTATGTTGCATTGAAAGTGGCTAATATTGCGTTGATTCGATCACAATTGCCACAGTAAAGGGAAAACAATTGCCACAGTAAAGGGAAACGTTGATAGTGTTAACCAACACGGAAAACTCTAGAAAGTTGAGTGAAGTTCAATCTCGTGCTTCTCCCTGTGGGCTTATATTTATTCTGTGCTCTGCACAGCAGTCTTGGGGCCACTGCGCGGCAGTCTTGGGGCCACTGCACGCCCGCGTACACATGCAGTTTAGAGGGAACATTGCTGGTATGCTGATGATACTGCTGTGTATGCTATTGCCCCAACGGTTGATCGTGCTCTATCTGAACTATAGTCTGCCTTCATTGTATTAAAGAAAACCCTTATTGACCTGAAATTAGTATTGAGTGCAAGTAAAACTAAGTATATGTTGTTCTCTAGAGCGCATAAAAACAACTCTGATGATTTAAGCATATGTACTTTGGATGGTGTCCATTTTGATCGTGTCCCTGCTTACAAGTATATGGGCATCTGGATAGATGAAAAGCTGTCTTTTAAAAAGCATATTGAGGAGTTAGTTAAGAAGCTGAGAATATAAATGGACTTATTCTATTGAAATAGGTCCTGCCTCTCGCTAAATAGTAGAAAGCAGATTATGCAGTTGAAGGTCCTATCGGTCCTAAATTATGGCGACATCATATATGAACACAGCTGCTACTTCATTAAAGCTTTTAGATGCAGTTTATCATAGCGCACTGCACTTTATTATGGGTGACAGTTTTAGCACTCACTGCATTCTCTACCAGAAAGTTTTCATTTATAAAGCCCTTTTACAAAAAGTCCCACTGTACCTAACATCATTACTAAACTTTAGACATAGGCGTTACCACACCCGGTCTCAGGGATGGCTAACTCTGGAAATTCCTTTGGTCTACTGAGTTAGATAAATCAGCTTTTAGTTTTCTTCTTCAAAATGTTCTGAAATGTGATGTTTTGATGCCTCTAGGACAATTCAGAATGCTGATTGAGGACCTTTTTACTGATGGATGTCTTTGTTTTTTATGAACATGTGTTTTTTTCTACTTGCATTTTGTATTTTTATTTTGATGTGTGTATTTTCTGTAATTTGTGTAATGCAAGGTTCATCTGTAAAATAGACCTTGGTCTCAGTATGGCTCCCTGATACATGTAAGGTTAAATACAATTAATGTATTAATTCATTCATTTATTTCTTAGTAGAACATGAACTCCTGAACTTCAAGACACTGCGGGGTTTTTTTGCAGCCCAAATTTACCTCTGAAACGATAGTAGTGCGAGACGGATCAAACACCCAGCCGCTGTCGCACGCGACTACCGGTAACTTGGTGAGATTAGAAATCAAGGGCCAGTCGTTGAGGTCACTGCAGTTGCTCTGGCTGCCGTTCCAGAACTTCCAGTCCACATCGAACCTCTGGCAGCGGCTGTAGGCGCCCGACGCGCCCTGCCCTGACTCATCCAACAGCGGGACGGTGAGTTCACGCAGCTCCTTGTCCGTCCATTCACATTCATCCTGGATGCGCTCTGTCCCGGAGGTCCGGCACCAGTGCACTGGGGTGTTCCCCAAGAACACGACTCCTACGAGGACGAACGCGAAGGTCAGCACCGGCAGAGATCCGAGGACAGTGATTCTCATTTGGTATGGTCCGAAATCTCCGATGTGGACGAGCAGGTCATCTAGGTTCGGCATTGTTTTACTGTCTTATCTTGGGTTGACAGATGTCACTGGTGGCGAGGAGGGCTCAGCATCATTTGAAAGAGAGAGTCAAGTAATTTGACAAGTGACTCCTTTTGTTCAAGTCAATAATTTGGTTCGGTTGACTCCATGCGTAATTGTACCTTACTACAGATGTAGAATCTTAATTTGATCACTCTTTTGCTGCTGAGAATTGTCCTGCACAGCACGAAATGCAAACTTGTTGTGTATTTAATGTTTAAACAGGCTTTTAAAGTTAGTAATTTCCACTTTAAAATGTCTGACTTGATTTGCCCTAACAAAATTGTATCAACCCGTACAATATTTTTTATTTAATTATAATAATTCACATTTCCAAATTTTTTTGAAATCGCAAACTGGCTCAAATGAATATCCTACATCTGTAGAAGTAGAGGTGGGGCTAGTCTAGAGACTTGTTCAAAGTCCCTCAAGGAGGGGGAGAAGACACTCTCAAGAAAGGGGCGTCATGACCTGAGCAGAACTGTAGGCTAAGTAGGCTAATGTAAATTGAACTTGATATAACGCCATGTGTACAGATGTATGATCTTAATTTGATCACCCTGTTACAGAATTGTTCTGCAGTGCAGGAAATGTAAAACTCGTAGTGTATTTGAGGTTTTAAAAGGATTCTGAAGGTTGTAATTTCCACTTTGAAATTTCAGACTTGATTTTCCCTTATAAAAATGTATGAACCCCTACAAAAATGTCCATTAATTACAATCCACATAATAATTCAAATGTCCTGTTGCTGCATGATTATTTTCCTGCTGTAGCAATCTGGCTCAAATTAAGATCCTAAATCTGTATAGGTTGACATTCAAAATAATTTTCTGCCTGTAGTTGACTTCAAGGGAGAGGTATTTTGCAGGTGCTCTGCCCATACACTGTACAGTTTGTAACATACAGTACCAGTCAAAAGTTTGGACACACCTATTCATTCAAGGGTTTTTCTTTATTTTTACTATTTTCTACATTGTAGAATAATAGTGAAGACATCAAACCTATGAAATAACACATCATGTAGTAACCAAAAAAGTGTTAAAGTATCCATCCCTTGCCTTGATGACAGCTTTGCACACTCTTGGCATTCACTCAACCAGCTTCACCTGGAATGCTTTTCCAACAGCCTTGAAGGAGTTCCCACATATTCTGAGCACTTGTTGGCTGCTTTTCCTTCACTCTGCGGTCCAACTCATCCCAAACCATCTCAATTGGGTTGAGGTCGGGTGATTGTTGAGGCCAGGTCATCTGATGCAGCACTCCATCACTCTCCTTCTTGGTCAAATAGCCCTTACACAGCCTGGAGGTGTGTTTTGGGTCATTGTCCTTTTGAAAAACAAATGATAGTCCCACTAAGAGCAAACCAGATGGGATGGTGTATCGCTGCAGAATGCTGTGGTAGCCATGCTGGTTAAGTGTGCCTTGAATTCTAAATAAATCACAGACAGTGTCATCAGCAAAGCACCCCCACACCATCACACCTCCTCCTCAGTGCTTCACGGTGGGAACCATACATGCGGAGATCATCCGTTCACCTACTCTGCATCTCACAAAGACACGGCGGTTGGAACAAAAAACTCAAATTTGGACTCATCAGACCAAAGGACAGATTTCCACCGGTCTAATGTCCATTGCTTGTGTTTCTTGGCCCAAGCAAGTCTCTTCTTATTATTGGTGTCCTTTAGTAGTGGTTTCATTGCAGCAATTCAACCATGAAGGCCTGATTCACGCAGTCTCTTCTGAACAGTTGATGTTGAGATGTGTCTGTTACTTGAACTCTGTGAAGCATTTATTTGGGCTGCAATTTCTGAGGCTGGTAACTCTAATGAATTGATCCTCTGTAGCAGAGGTAACTCTGGGTCTTCCTTTCCTGTGGCTGTCCTCATGAGAGCCAGTTTCATCATAGCGCTTGACTGCACTTGAAGAAACTTTCAAAGTTCTTGACATTTTCCAGATTGATTGACCTTCATGTGTTAAAGTAATGATGGACTGTCGTTTCTCTTTGCTTATTTGAGCTGTTCTTGCCTTAATATGTACTTTGTCTTTTACCCAATAGGGCTATATTCTGTATACCATCCCTACCTTGTCACAACACAACTGATTGGCTCAAATGCATTAAGAAGGAAAGAAATTCCACAACTTTTAATTACCTTTTAACAAGGCACAGCTGTTAATTGAAATGCATTCCAAGTGACTACCTCATGAAGCTGGTTGAGAGAATGCCAAGAGTGTGCGAAGCTGTCATCAAGGCAAAGGGTGGCTACTATATATTTTGATTTGTTTAACACTTTTTGGTTACTACATGATTCCATATGTGTTATTTCATACATATACAATATATAATGCACAACAATATAATTCACAAGAGTCCATTCAAAGCATTCAAAGGCTGTTTCAATAGGAAATCTATCTCGTCAGTCCAGCTGTGCAACATTTCAAGAGAGATACTGACAGCTTGTTTATTTTCCTAACTTGGCCTTGAGTTCCGGGCCAAGGGACATAATAACACAGTAATAATAATAAGACAACCACAAGTCATTACATAACTGTTTTGAGGATTTGTACAGAATGTCAGATTAAATACAGTAAATGCACAAAAAAATGCCCCTTGAAGTGCAACGTATTCATTTCCTTTTTGTCTTTCATACACACTGCATTATCGTGGTACTGAGACAAAACGGGGAACAGTATTCCAGGACTATATTACATTTCTTTATTCGACAAACCCTCATCTCATCCACACACTCTCCTCTAGTCCCTGGATATGTCCCAAATGGCACCCTATTCCCACACTAAATCGATAATACGGTGCCATTTTCCTAAAGGCCCTGGTAAAATCTAGTGCACTATAGGCTATAGGGAATAGGGTGCCATTTGTGACAGCCCCTGTCTATAACATGGACATTCAAAGGAGACTGTGTCCTCATGTGAAACTATTAGTCACCCATCTGGATGTAATAAACAGGACTCTCCATTCTGGATGGCAGACAGTGCATGGGTCACTGCTCTTCACCAGAGCTGCCCTTTTACATCTGGCTTTAATGGTCGAAGCTGTTATTAAAGTCTACGTTTTTATAACTTCTTGATCTTCTTTACATTGAAGGTAATAAAAGATCCAAGGACTCATTTTGAAAGTTTGTGTGCTTTGACATATTTTCAGATTCACTGAATTCCCATTCTCTAAGATACAGCTGTCTTGAAAATACCTTAAAGAATAAGGTGTTAATATAACGTGACTAGGTATCCTACTAGGCTCCTCGTAACACAAACGTTTTTGTTGTTGTTGTTTGTTTACATAATGACCACTAGTCTAAAAAAAGATACTAAGAACTACCTAGAAATAATCGACTCGGGTTATCTGTAGAAGAACCAAGATCAAAATTTGAGCATGTGTACACAAGTAATAATAACACATGTAATTCACCAAGACTTCATCAATTTCTTTTGAGGAGTTTATAAATTGAGGCAAAGTTGTGGTATTCAAATCTGTAAGCAATACAAAAAAAAAGAAAAAAATTCACAAGGGTATCTGATAAGAAATTAGGGAATACAGTGGGGGAAAAAAGTATTTAGTCAGCCACTTAAAAAGATGAGAGAGGCCTGTAATTTTCATCATAGGTACACGTCAACTATGACAGACAAATTGAGGGAAAAAAATCCAGAAAATCACATTGTAGGATTTTTTATGAATTTATTTGCAAATTATGGTGGAAAATAAGTATTTGGTCACCTACAAACAAGCAAGATTTCTGGCTCTCACAGACCTGTAACTTCTTCTTTAAGAGGCTCCTCTGTCCTCCACTCGTTACCTGTATTAATGGCACCTGTTTGAACTTGTTATCAGTATAAAAGACACCTGTCCACAACCTCAAACAGTCACACTCCAAACTCCACTATGGCCAAGACCAAAGAGCTGCCAAAGGACACCAGAAACAAAATTGTAGACCTGCACCAGGCTGGGAAGACTGAATCTGCAACAGGTAAGCAGCTTGGTTTGAAGAAATCAACTGTGGGAGCAATTATTAGGAAATGGAAGACATACAAGACCACTGATAATCTCCCTCGATCTGGGGCTCCACGCAAGATCTCACCCCGTGGGGTCAAAATGATCACAAGAACGGTGAGCAAAAATCCCAGAACTACACGGGGGGACCTAGTGAATGACCTGCAGAGAGCTGGGACCAAAGTAACAAAGCCTACCATCAGTAACACACTATGCCGCCAGGGACTCAAATCCTGCAGTGCCAGACGTGTCCCCCTGTTTAAGCCAGTACATGTCCAGGCCCGTCTGAAGTTTGCTAGAGTGCATTTGGATGATCCAGAAGAGGATTGGGAGAATGTCATATGGTCAGATGAAACCAAAATATAACTTTTTGGTAAAAACTCAACTCGTCGTGTTTGGAAGACAAAGAATGCTGAGTTGCATCCAAAGAACACCAAACCTACTGTGAAGCATGGGGGTGGAAACATCATGCTTTCGGGCTGTTTTTCTGCAAAGGGACCAGGACGACTGATCCGTGTAAAGGAAAGAATGAATGGGGCCATGTATCGTGAGATTTTGAGTGAAAACCTCCTTCCATCAGCAAGGGCATTGAAGATGAAACGTGGCTGGGTCTTTCAGCATGACAATGATCCCAAACACACCGCCCGGGCAACGAAGGAGTGGCTTCGTAAGAAGCATTTCAAGGTCCTGGAGTGGCCTAGCCAGTCTCCAGATCTCAACCCCATAGAAAATCTTTGGAGGGAGTTGAAAGTCCGTGTTGCCCAGCGACAGCCCCAAAACATCACTGCTCTAGAGGAGATCTGCATGGAGGAATGGGCCAAAATACCAGCAACAGTGTGTGAAAACCTTGTGAAGACTTACAGAAAACGTTTGACCTGTGTCATTGCCAACAAAGGGTATATAACAAAGTATTGAGAAACTTTTGTTATTGACCAAATACTTATTTTCCACCATAATTTGCAAATAAATT